GAGAGACAGACAGAGAGAAAGGTCTTCCTTCCTTTGGTTCACCCCTCAGTGGCCACTGCGGCTGGCGCGCTGTGGCCGGTGCACTGCGCTGATCCGAAGCCAGGAGCCAGGTGCTTCTCCTGGTCTCCTATGTAAAGTATGAAGACAAGCACTGCAATGGCAACTATCTGAGTAATATCAATATTTAATTTTAGGCAGAAGAGACCGCAAATGAACTGAAATGGAGTAATCAGAAGTACAGAGGAAAGCCAGGGAAATGAGATATGATGTATGCTGAGGGAGGTAGTATTAGACGACAGAGCTAGGGAAGTATCACATGCTGCCTTATAACCTCCTTCTTTGTTCCCATTAGTTAGTTCTATAGCTCATTACTGTGCTTCACTTTCGTAATATAATTTATTCTTAATGAAACAGGAGTTTATATTTTCTTATTCACATGTTTTCATATTAACCCCTAAGAGAAAAGGGGCCTATATTCTGTGCCTAGATGAAGGTTTGGCATATAGAACTTTAATGAAGTGCTATGTGAATCACATGCACTCTATAAATGAGGAATTAAAAGTATAAATTGCATTTAAGCAACACAATAATCACTAATGGTCTTGGGAAGAACCATTTGAAAGAAACAGTGGAATAAAAATAAGAATTCAATGAATTGAATAATAATAAAGAGAAAAGGAAATGGGGTGGATGCCAACATTCATGACTTATATGAGGATTTTAAATTGCTAGAGAGAGGGGCTGGCATCGTGGTAGAGAGGGTTAAGCTGCCACCTGTGATACTAGTATACCATGTGAGTGCCAATTTGAGTCCAGGTTATTCAACTGCTAATTCAGCTCCTTGCTAATACACCTGGGAAAGCAGTGGAAGATGGCCCAAGGAGCTGGGTCCCAGCCTTTCCAAAGGAAAACTGGATAGAGCTCCTGACTTCAGCCTGGCTCAGCCACAGCTGTTCTGACTCTTTGGAGAGTGAGCCAGCTGATGAACAGTCATTCTTCAAAAAACATAAAAAATAATCTATTATATGACATAGTTACCTTACTACTGGTTATATATCAGAAGGAAATGAAATCAGCATATCAAAAAGACAGTAATTCTCCCATGGTCACTATAACACAGTTCACAGCAGCCATGATTTGGAACCAATCCAGCAGTACATTAATGAAAAAGTGGACAGGGAACATCAATTAGACACACAAAAAAATATTGTTACATCCTGCAAAATGTATATAAAGAGATCATTAAATTAAGTGAAATAAGCCAACACAGAAGCACAAATGTCACATGTTCTTTGTCATATATGGAAGTGAAAAAAGTAACAGATTTGAATAGAGAATTACGATTATTAGAGGCTGAGAAAAGTGGACGCTAGGGATAGAGGGGGATTATCTAACAGGTACCAAAATACAGGGAGGCAGAAGTAATTTCTGATGTTCCATAATACAGTTAGGTGACTATAGGGCAACATGTTAGGTGCTGTGTAAAGAACTGGAGGAGAGGGGCTGGTACGCTCAAATCATGAAGAGGAAATGGAAACACTAGCTGCCTAGCTTGACGAGTTTCCACTATGGATGTGTGTTCAAATACTGCAGTATATCCTATAATGTATGACTAGTACACATTAATCAAAAACTGTTTAAATAAAATTTGAATAATAGAAGCATATGTATATACTAGCAATGAACTATTTGAAAATGAAATAAGGAAAATACTTCAAAGTATAACAGCATAAAAAACAGGAGACGATATCCTCCAGCACTGTCAATGATTAATGAAATACACAGCAAAACAATCAAGAATTCAAGGTGGCCTTTCCACCTGAACTTTCTGATCAGCCCTTACATGATTTAGAACCAGATAAACTGGTATTCTAATAATGCCACTATTGGGAAACTAAACTTGAATTCAGATGCAAGGATCCTTATACTAGTTTGGTCTACTCATTGTAAGTACTGCTGTCAAAGCACACACAGGGGCCGGCGCCACCGCTCAACAGGCTAATCCTCCGCCTGCAGCGCCGGCACACTGGGTTATAGTCCTAGTCGGGGCACCGGATTCTGTCCCGGTTGCTCCTCTTCCAGTCCAGCTCTCTGCTGTGGCCCGGGAGTGCAGTGGAGGATGGATCAGGCCCCTGGGCCCCGTACCCGCATGGGAGACCAGGAGGAAGCACCTGGCTCCTGGCTTCGGATCAGCGCAGTGCGCTGGCCGCAGCACACTGGCTGCAGCAGCCATTGTGGGGTGAACCAACGAAAAAAGGAACACCTTTCTCTGTCTCTCTCTTTCTCTCACTGTCCACTCTGCCTGTCCAAAAAAAAAAAAAAAAAAGGGGGAGAAGAAAAATTTACCCTTGGGGACCATCAACCTTGTACCTGTGTCTCAAAGTTAAATACAGACTGGGGTGGGTATTTAGCCTAATAGTAAAAAAGCTTGTTTTCCTTATTAGTTACAGAGTTCAATTCCTGGATATGGCTCTTGACTCCAGTTTCCTATTTTTTTTTTTTTTATTTGACAGGTAAAGTTATAGACAGTAAGAGAGAAAGACAGGCCGCCGTCGTGGCTCACTAGGCTAATCCTCTGCCTTGCAGCACCGGCACACCGGGTTCTAGTCCTGGTCGGGGCGCCAGATTCTGTCCCAGTTGCCCCTCTTCCAGGCCAGCTCCGCTGCTGTGGCCGGGGAGTGCAGTGGAGGATGGCCCAAAGTACTTGGGCCCTGCACCCCATGGGAGACCAGGAAAGCACCTGGCTCCTGCCATTGGATCA